TGAGGTATCAATTGAACATTAAAAGAGGAAGAATCACTGATCACATAATGGAGTTGTCGTTCCAATCTCGACCTTTTATACTTCCGAAAAGTGGGTGTCGACGGTGATCTCTGGCTAAAATATCCTTTTCGACCATAATAAGTTCGTGATAATTGCGATTGTCCTGTAAGCATTTGTAATAATTGCGTAGGTATTCCAGTTTGTATTATAAAAATAGCCATATATTTGAAGTAAGAGCATTGTGATAATGTACTTGCATAGTTCGTTGGCTTTGTCCTTTAGGATATTTGAAGTATGAGTATTGCAATAATGAGCTTGCATAGTTCGCTGGCTTTGAGTGTCAAATTCACTCCAGATAATTGATGACTTCATATATCTTGTTATGCCCACTCAGAGCAATCTATTTTAGTCACATAATAATCACCATAGATTTTGTACTTTCGTTCATATTTTTGTTTAGTAATCGCGATATTTCGCGACAGATAGATAATGAATGATGCATAAAAGATGCTCACACAATCAACATTCAACGACTTTTATCGATACGAATCAAACTTTTGAGAAAATACTTATTTCAATTACGCTACACAAATGGAATAATTTTAGGGTAATCCTCCTTCGACAGCCACTCGTGGATAATGGTTGCTCTATGAGACCGTTGCCAGGGAGTGACTGTAGTGACAAAAATGTCCTCGAGGAAATCATATCAAACGAATGCAAAGCATTTTCACATTCAGTGTTATTATAAATGTGTTGTTTATGTGCAATAGGAAAACTCATTCGTGATCGATCATGTGACTCGATCACTGAATAGAGGGGAAAAGGTCACCAGCATGTGACTTTGGGACGTGGTTTTATCGCATACGGTAACGTTATACCGGACAAACATATTTCGAATATGACAACTGTAATGTGCGATGGATGAGAATTACAACTGTTTTTGAACATAGCGTATTGTTAACATGCACAGGGATTGATCAACGTCATTAACGTGAACGTCACTGGTTAACGTCATCAATTGTTATTAAGAACGATGAGTTTACAAAGTTCCGTGATATCATACAATCCGTTTGCCGGAAAAGTTGATTAGGGAGGTGTCGAAATAACAAATTTATGCGCACAAAAGGCATAAACCTACTGAAGACAAACTTTTCGAGGTCAACAATCGCTGATTTGTGTCGATAAATTCCTAACCAATTGCACGAACGAATCGAGGAAGCATGTCATAAAAGTCATCACAAACACTGAAATAACACTGGGGAATGTCAACTGAAATAATCCATCTCATGTTGTTATGCCTCATTTTCGTGCCATCGATGTACATTCGTAGCAGTCTCATTTATCCTCATTTCATTATCGATTCGTGGGTGGAGTCTATGTCAAGTGATCAACTGTGCATTGTGTTGTTGTTACTACGCAGCGCACAGGTACACATTTACGGGCACACCCCACGTTATGCGACGTGCTGCTTTTGATTTTGATTATGATCTCACTATCAGTTCAAGAACGTTGAAACTCATCTTATTCATTGATCAATTAGGCTGTCATGAGTTGATCCAGTTAACTGTCATCGAAAATCGCAGCTGTTCTGTTGTGAATTGCAAAAGTTTGGTGATTAAAATAGGAATTTTGACGTGATGATTATCGATTATTTTCTAGTGTCAAAACGTTGATACGTTATCAGACTAACAGATTCACAGACACACGCACTCTCACAGATTATCACGTACACTGCCTTAGGCGTTTTGTGTTTTTCTCTAATCATTTGTCTCGTTATCAGCCTTTATCTCCTTGTTAGCTTCTTATTTACTGATCTTTGCCTCTTTTCTTATCACAATCATCTTATTGCTTCTGTTCATGTTGTTTCCATGCGTATAGTTAGAATAATTTTATTGGCAAAATAACCGTATTATTATGTTGCGTACGTTATTTTCTCAGTGATGCTATTCGTACGTTATTTTCTGAGTGATGCTATTCGTACGTTATTTTCTCATAGTCGATATTATCACATTATTCTGATATTTCTCACCCGGCTTCTATGATTTTTGATCATTCTTTCAATGGCGTTCGTAATTTCTGGTCTTTGCGGTTGGTAATTGTTGTTCCGTTGTTGGCACGTTCAGTGATTGTGTGCTCTTCACAATAGATAATTCATCAAATTTACAATAACCATTGCGATAATTATGTTCGTAGAAAATACAACCAACTGATGTGGATTGATATAGTGGAAGGAAAGTGCTGACTTTGAAAAATAAATATTTGATAGTGTCAATTAATTGCTCGAATTTGAACGAAATCCAATCCGAATGAGTGATAATGATGTGGTAACAATAGTGGATAGTGATCTCGATATTGCTACTACTTCAGCTGTTTCGCACGCTGCGAATGGTTTGCTTTTTATTTATTTATTTGTTTATTCATTCATTGAACAATAATCGAGCTATCTGCAGGTTATCCTTTGTGTCTGTGTGTAAACAAACAAATGACTGTATTTTAGATATCATTGTTTAGTTATGGATAACTGCATATTTACCTACTTATTTAAGAGATGATTCTTAAATACCTGTTTGACTGTTAGAGAGTGAATTAAACTATGAAATTTGGTCATCTGATTTTTAGTTTTGTCATTTTCTGTTTTATCGTTTGACTGTATGACTTCTCTCAAACTACATTTTATTGACTCTTTCACGTTTCACTATTTCAGGTTTTATTTTTTCTCATCAAGTTTCTCATCTAGTTTGCTTTCCTTACGTCCTCAAAAATACTTGAGTTCATAAGTCATATTTATGGTGTACGGTAGGTAACTGTGATACTTAAAAAAAGTTTTATGGTTGTTGATGACAACTGGTTATGTGCAGTAATAGTGTGACTTGGTATTAATGTATCGACAGTGTGTGAATTTCTACGGGTACACCGAAGTGTATCTTGTATCTTAGCCTCGTCCATTCTTAATTCGATGCTCATCCTTAAGTTCAGGCTTACACGTAGATTTGTGCTTAGGCTCACTCTTACAAGGTGCTAAAGTATATCCATTTTGCTGCTGTAGTCGTACAAGCTATTGGTGTACGTTGTAAACAGACACGATTTAGTTTTAGTAATTCATGAAACGTAACAGTTGGATTTTGGATAAAATAAGGGGTTCAGTATGATACTATTCATTAGGATTGAAACACTGAATGAGTTGTATGTTATTAGATTAAATTTTCAATGTTTCTATTGTGAATTTCACCAGTTGGTGAATTGCACATTGATGAGATGCAGTNTTGAATGAAGCGTTTTTGAACGATTTGGGTTAGCTTGTGCATAAAATAGAAATAGATGAATAAGTAGTAATAATGGCCTGTCTCATTATTGCATTGCAGACGATGAGAGTGGTATTGATGTGGATGATGTTAATTTTGTGATCGATCAAGAAATTCCACTTGATGCTAAACATTTGAATCGAGTTCATGAAGAACTGGAAAAACTGAATATTGCAACCGATGTCATAAATAAATTGGAATTACAACTGGATGAAGCAAGGGCCAATTTTGGGTGTGTTCATTTCACTAGTTTACACATTCGCTGTTTCTTTTTTTTTTCAAACTCATTCTTTTCTTTTTGACTTTATTTTTATGCATGAGTAATAGTAACTGAGTTTCGGTGCCTTAACTCATTCATTTTGACATTTTCACCTCTGACGAGATCATCAGAAAATATAAATATATATGTGTGACGATGAAACATTTATGTCTATTCAACGAATGTTTTGTATCAGTTTCAACGTTACTTCTCAATTTTAGGCAGATCCAAGCTAACTGGTCCCAGAAATTGAATGATCTGAGCAAAAAATATGGGTCTGCTATTGAGAAGGCACGACCTTATTATGAGGCAAAGCTTGAGGTAAAATAATGCTTATTGTCATTAATTCTCCTATTTTAAATACTGACTGAGTCTTTAATTTTTGAATATGAAACATCATTTATTAATGCAGTTGAAATTCATTTAGTGTGGAGTGAAAATATAGCGGATCATTTATGATCAAATTATTGGTCAGTTGACCAAGCGGATTGATCAATTGATTGCTGATCTGATCTAGGAGCACAGTCAATGACAGTGATTCTTGCACTGAGCTTTTTAAAGTACTGATATCGACAGTCTGATATCGACA